ATTAATTTATCACAGGTAAGTAAACGTAATTAATTTATCACATCGAACCCTTTTTGCTGACGCTGTTTTGTATAATGTTCATGCCAACTACACAGTAACAGAGTATACTGTTCGATTGACATAATTGTAAATAATTTCATTCCACCTGTAAGAATAGATTTGAAGCCATCATTAAAACGTTTCGGGAATTTAGCTTCTCGGGTGGTTAACTTTAGCTTGTCATTATTATATTTTCTGAGTCGGCAAAGGGCTTATGTTTCATTTTCAATTTATCTTTAGTAATAGATACAAACCCTGCTCTCGTTAAGGTATGGTTTTTGATCTTCGATTATCCCATTCGAGTGATAATTATTTCTCTTGCTATCACCATTTATATTTATGGTTATGTCATCAATAAACAGCGGGGTTTTTTTTACAATAGAGCAATGCGTTGAATACGATTTCCCATGAGAAGTAACTGTTGACGTGTTTTTTCCACGCGAGTAAAGCTAACAAATGCGCGTCCGTATCTCGAAAACCTCTTTATTATGTCAAGAAATGTCTTATTTAAAGGTCTCGTGATTCCCTTGCCAAGTGTTTTAGGATGCCAGTAAATGCAAAAAAAGTAATCACCGAGAATTCCTAAGTAGCACATCGGTTGTATGAAGGCACAAATTGTACTCTCCCGTTTCAGTTAATAATAAGCCATGGGTACATTCAATCTACCTTTAGCCTAATTTGCATAATTTTTTTTGGTGAGAAAAGCCTGTCATGCTCCCAATTCAAACTGTATTATTGCTGCAGTATCATTATTTAAGTTCAACTACCTCCTCTATTAACTAGGCCAACACGAAGCAGTGATGTCATCTACTTTATATTTTTTCTTTCCTGTACATTCAAAAACTCATTATTAATTCATGAGCTAAACAACCTATCACGTCTGCTGAAATCTGTCACGCGCTCGTGTTTTAAACCCTGGTAAAACACTGGGTGTTTACCATTTAATCAGAAAAACCGGCTGGTTAACGGGTGCAGTAAATGGAACACATTTTAACCCTGAATGGTAAATTTCCATGGGAAGCCTGTGCTCCATTTCACGAAAAATTCCCAACTAAAGAAGAGCGAGCCTGGGACTGATTGCCATTCAAGATGGCGGAGAAAGACGAAGGAGAAATTCGTTTAATAGGATCGATAACGCCTTTCATGAGAAATGACCTTAAGAGAAATGCTAACTTTTATGAGGTCTTGGTTCCGTTATACTCTGTCAGTGAATTCAGATCCCACTTTCAAATGACGAGAACAACGTTCGAGGCATTTAGCAGAGAAGTGGCAGCCACAGGTTCAATCCCTAGAGGAAATCGTTTTGGAAGAAAACCAATACCCATTTATAAGCAGGTTTTGACGTTTATTTGGTTTATTTCCAACATGGAAAGTATGAGGTCTGTCACCGACAGGTTCAATGTTACCCTCAGAAGCTTAGGGTGGATCAGAAAGAGGGTATCTGAAGCAGTGATAACTCTCCGAGAAGAATACATCAAATGGCTGAATGATACGTTTAGATTGGATTTTCTTTTGTCAGAGTGTTATCAAATTAAAGAAGGTATTTGTTAGTGACTAGTGTTGTTTCAGTTTGTAATGTTTATATTGTAAGGTAAACTTATGCATTTTCTGCAGAAAATGAGATTTTGCAATAATGCAGAACTTTGAGGCACAATCTGGGTTTCCGAGAATAATCGGTGCCATCGATGGTACACATATAAGGATTTGAGCTCCAGTCAATCAAGCTAATGCTTACTTTAATACCCAGGCAAGTAATTCTTTTCTTGTCATGTTTTTACAATTACCCTGAATCTTGTAATAAAAGTTTGAAGTTAAGATTTCTTGTTTTCTTTAGCCTTCCAGATATGAAATGTAAAGCATCTTTATTTCTATAGTCAAAGAAGCCATTCAAGACAATCAGCCAAGTGGATATTCATATTTAGAATTATATATAAATATGCCATTTGCTTATTTTTTTTCTTATGCTCCTTGACTAACTGTTCAGCGGTCTGTGTTGGCTGTTGGGGTTCTTTTTCTTTACTTTAAAAATAAAGCACAAAGCTGTTCTATTTAAAAACAATAGGCCATTTGCACTAAGAGGTCACTAAGTAGCTTTGGAAGCATTGGTCACGTGACCCCTTAGTGCAAGTGGCCTATTATCATTGAAGTCATTATAAATAATCAATGATACCACCTTTTTTTTATTGATACTTGTAGCGTGTCTGTGATGACAACATGATATCTCATGATGTACTGGTAGGATGGCCGGGATCAGTGCATNAAGGAGAAATTCGTTTAATAGGATCGATAACGCCTTTCATGAGAAATGACCTTAAGAGAAATGCTAACTTTTATGAGGTCTTGGTTCCGTTATACTCTGTCAGTGAATTCAGATCCCACTTTCAAATGACGAGAACAACGTTCGAGGCATTTAGCAGAGAAGTGGCAGCCACAGGTTCAATCCCTAGAGGAAATCGTTTTGGAAGAAAACCAATACCCATTTATAAGCAGGTTTTGACGTTTATTTGGTTTATTTCCAACATGGAAAGTATGAGGTCTGTCACCGACAGGTTCAATGTTACCCTCAGAAGCTTAGGGTGGATCAGAAAGAGGGTATCTGAAGCAGTGATAACTCTCCGAGAAGAATACATCAAATGGCTGAATGATACGTTTAGATTGGATTTTCTTTTGTCAGAGTGTTATCAAATTAAAGAAGGTATTTGTTAGTGACTAGTGTTGTTTCAGTTTGTAATGTTTATATTGTAAGGTAAACTTATGCATTTTCTGCAGAAAATGAGATTTTGCAATAATGCAGAACTTTGAGGCACAATCTGGGTTTCCGAGAATAATCGGTGCCATCGATGGTACACATATAAGGATTTGAGCTCCAGTCAATCAAGCTAATGCTTACTTTAATACCCAGGCAAGTAATTCTTTTCTTGTCATGTTTTTACAATTACCCTAAATCTTGTAATAAAAGTTTGAAGTTAAGATTTCTTGTTTTCTTTAGCCTTCCAGATATGAAATGTAAAGCATCTTTATTTCTATAGTCAAAGAAGCCATTCAAGACAATCAGCCAAGTGGATATTCATATTTAGAATTATATATAAATATGCCATTTGCTTATTTTTTTTCTTATGCTCCTTGACTAACTGTTCAGCGGTCTGTGTTGGCTGTTGGGGTTCTTTTTCTTTACTTTAAAAATAAAGCACAAAGCTGTTCTATTTAAAAACAATAGGCCATTTGCACTAAGAGGTCACTAAGTAGCTTTGGAAGCATTGGTCACGTGACCCCTTAGTGCAAGTGGCCTATTATCATTGAAGTCATTATAAATAATCAATGATACCACCTTTTTTTTATTGATACTTGTAGCGTGTCTGTGATGACAACATGATATCTCATGATGTACTGGTAGGATGGCCGGGATCAGTGCATGATTCTCGTATTCTAAGAAATTCCTCTCTGTGTTCAACTGCTGCCAATAAGTTCCCTGGAGACACCCATCTCCTTGGTGATGGTGGCTACCCATTACAAAGGTTTGTTTTCTGCATGTAGAAACAAAACTTAATGGCATAGTTAGGTCATTTGTAAGTTGAACACAGTCTACTCTTTTTGTCAAGGAGTTTGCACAGTTCCATAAGTTCTCCTCAAGATGTTTATAGTAATCAGGACAGAATCTACTTGTTCAAAATTGTAAAGCCTGAAAGGCTAATGTCTCTGTGTAAGATAATTTCAAGCTGAATTTACATTTCTTTAACTGACAACTGGTTTTCTGGTTATTTTTAGGTGGCTCATAACACCCTGCCGTGATAACGGACACTTGAGCCGTCAACAGCAGCGTTTCAATCAGATACTGTCTTCAATTCGGCAAGTGGTTGAAAGAGCAATATGTCTTCTGAAGGGAAGATGGCGCAAACGTAGCCTGCTTGAACTCCTAGATATAGAATTGATGGTCCATTTGATTATGACAGAATGTGTTCTCCACAATTTCTGTATTTTACATGATGACTTTGATGAAAATTATTTTTTAGATAATGATGACAGTGTAGATGATGGCTGTGTTGGGCTTGATGGATGTGCACCAGGGGGCTCAGGGGGTGTTAGACTAGAAGAAGCAAAACGAATCCAAGTAATGAATATCATTTGTTAAGATGGCTGTACACAGTGCTTTAAGAGCGGCCGTCCGTAAATATCGCCTGGGGGCGTGCAAAATGAAAAAATCGAAAATCCCCAAACTTTGTCAGAATATAGCTCTAGGTAAACTATTTCTAGAAAAATAACTTTCAGTTCGATTAGATTTTTCTTTTACGCGTGCGGCGACCGAGTCGGTTCGG